CACAACTCAGTCCATAGCAGGGAGTATGACATCTTAACAATATTAAGGCTTCCAATCCATGAACATAGGATATCTTTCCATTTATTTAAGTATTTTTAAATTTCTTTCAACAATGTTTTATAGTTTTCAGTGTTTAAGTCTCATTCCTTTTTTTGTTTCATTCCTTTATTTTCTCTAAGTATTTTAGGGGTTTTGGTGCTATTGTAAATGGATTGCTTTTGTAATTTCATTTCAGATTCTTATCATTAATTTTGATTGACATTTGTATATTGATCCTGTATCTTGTAACATTGGTGCATTCTCTTATTTGTGCTAAAAGCTTTTTAGTATTTTACATATAAGATGATGTCCTTTGTGAATATATAGTTTCAGTTCTTCCTTTCCAAGCTGTTACAACCATTTCACATTTCTGTGTTTTGTTCTTGTTAATCTCTTCCTGTCCTCTCCTTCCTATTTTATTATCTTTTTGGATTTTTATTTTAATTTTACTGTTGAATTTGTAGTTATTCTTTTTTTAAATTGAGGTTTAATTTACATATGACATTATGTTAGTTTTGGGTGTACAACATAATGATTCAATGTTTGTATGTATTGTGAAATATCACCACAATAAATCTAGTTAATATTCAACCTTGTATGTAGTAGTTATTCTTTATTAAGATTTTTATAGGGTTGCCCTATGGATTTCAACATTCATTCATAACTGCCACAGTATAGTTATAATTGCAATGTACTACTTCACTTAAAAAATAGAAATCTTGCAACCTTATAAACTTATATCTCACCAACCTTTGTTTTTATTAGTTATATTTTCCCTTCAGCCATAAGAACTTAACCATTTATTATACTGAAGATATGAATGCTCATAGTTTCACCTTCATTATTGAAAATACTTTTTCTGGATATAGGTAGAATTCTAGGCAGAGATTTTTTTTCTTTCAGCATTTTAAAGATGTCCTACTCTCTTCTGATTTACATGTTTCTGATAAGTTAGCTGTTAATCAGATTTTTGTCCTCCTCTATATAATATGTTGTTTTTTATTGCTCCTTTTAAGATTCATTCTTTATCTTTCACTTTTAATAACTTAAATATTGTTTGCTTTGCCTCAGCTTGGGCTTTTTTGTTTTTCTGCTTATTTCTCATTGAATAATTTGAATTTGTAAATTTCTGCCTTTTATCAAATAATCTATCTTCAAGTTCACTTATTCTTCCTTCCATCTTCTCTGTTCAATTTATATCTATCCCATAATTTTTTAATTTCATAAACTGCATTTTTGGTTCTAGAATTTCCATCTTTATTTAAAATCAATTAATTAACATGTAGTATACTATTAGTTAGAATTTCCATCTTTTTAAAAAATTTTATTTTATTTTTTCAGTGCTCCAAGATACATTGCTTATGCACCACACCCATCTTTTAAAAAATCATTGCAGTATCATCATTTCCCATTTCTGTACTGTGATTTCATGCATTGAAAGCACGTTTTGTTTTATACTTTACTGAAGTTAATTGTTGCTGTTGGTTAAATTGTGTCTCCCTCAAAATTTCTTCTCTCTCTCTCCCCCCTTTATTTTCTTTTGAGAGAGAGAGAAAGAGCATGGGTGGGGGGAGGTGTGCAGAGAAAGAGGAGGAGAGAGAATCCTAAACAGGCTTCACACTCAGCACAGAGCCTGATGTGGGGCTTAATCCCACAACCCAGAGATTATGACCTGAGTTGAAACCAAGAGTACAATGCTTAACTGACTGAGCCATGCAGGTGACAGGTGACCCACCCTCAAAACCTCTATAGTCAAGTTCTAACTCCAAGCACATAAGAATGTGATCCTACTTGGAAATAGGATCATGGAAGATATAATTAGTTTAAATGAGATTGTGCTGGAGTAGGGTGGGCCCTTAATCCAATATGACTGGTGTCCTTATAAAAAGAAGAATTTGGACACAGATAAATATACAAAGGGTGAAGGCTATGTTGAAGATAGCAGGCAGAAATTGGAATGAAGCTTCTACATGCCAAGGAATGGCAAAGATTTCCAGCAAATTACCAGAAGCTAGAGGAGAGGCATGGAAAGATTCCCCACTGCCCTCTGAAGAACTAGCCTTGCTGACACCTTGATCTTGGACTTCTAGCCTCCAGAACTGTGTGGCAATAAACTTCTGTTGTTTAAGCCATCAAGTTTGTGATACTTTTTAGAGCAGCTCTAGCCAACTATTGCAATTATAATAATTAACTTAAAAGCCTTGTTTGTTAATTCTGAGGTGTGGTTCATCTTAGTATTGGACTCAATTGATTTTTGTTTCTCTTGAGAATGTGTTTTATTGAACTGATTTTTCCTGTATCAGGTAACTTGCACATTATGCATGCTAAGTAGTAGAGGTTATGGGCTATATTCTTTTTCTCTTATGAATATTATTTGGTTTGTTTTAGCTGATAATTTCCTTGGCTGGGATTGAACTTCAGACTTTGTTTCTTGTGTCTGTTCAGAACTTTTGTCTGAGCTGATTTGCTTTGAGTCTCCTTTGAGTCATCCAGAGATATGGGTAGATAGAGTTTGGGATTCCCTCTCTGGCTCTTTCCTTTTCAAGACTATGGTAAGTTGTTTTGTTTTTGTTTTTTTGCCTGTGTTCCTGCTGCTGCCTTGTGCATTATTCAGACTGCAGTTAGCCCAGGCTGAAAGTCTCAAAAAAGGAGAACTTATGCCTACAGCTTTCCATTTTCTCCTGCCATGTGAAGGTGATTTCCCCATCGGTATCTGTTTGCTGCTGTTCATTCCTAGTAACTTCAGGTAGACTTTTTGCCTCCCCGGTTTTATCATTGCCTTCTGCTTGTGTGTGTGTGTGTGTGTCAGAATCTTAGTCCATCATGTCTGGAAGCCAGTCTCCTCACCATCATTTTTGAGGGATATTTTCATTAGATGTGAAATTCATTCTTTCTTTCTTCCTTCCTTTCTTTCTTTCTTTCTTTCTTTCTTTCTTTCTTTCTTTCTTTCTTTCTTTC